TGCCCATTAATTGTGTTAAATACATAGGCAAAGCAGATTCGACCCTCAAAAGAGGTTAAGAATAACAATATTCAAATATGATATTTTTAACGCTTTGAATGAGCTAGTTGAAAGATACATCTATATCTGCAATCTCCTCCCGAGCAGCTCAAACACGAACCAGATGGCACCCCAACAAATACTAGTCACTGTGATTAATCGTGTTCCGAATTAATACGGATTTTAAACGTAAATAAATTCAAGTTGAGCCGCCATTACAAATCGTATGAAATAACTGTAAGAATAATTTAAGAGAATATTGTCTACAAAATCTTACGATAAAAGAAAGTACAGATAAATAGGAGACTTTTGGCCTTAGAAAAATCCTTTAATGATGTAGAATATGTTAGTTCTGCAATTAACAACACTTCTTATCGACTTAGTCGGACTCCAACGTATCGTACCTAGCTAACAGTTCAATTCGGATTAATGGATCGATAAATCTGTCCAGAAAAATACAAAAAGCTTCGGGTTTAACGCAAACACAATATAAAGAGACGTTTGTGCTCAAGGTCTCTTTTCATTGTTGGCAACGGTAGTGCGAATTTTACGTCTGTCTTAATGTTTTACAGAGTGATGCACTTTACCGCGCGTCATTAAAAGGCTGGCAAAATAAACTAAATGATAACTGTTTGATCTCTTACAACCATTATTCCTTCTTATATAAGATCGTGTGCGCCCCAAAATACAGATCTATTTCCAAATAATCAGCGATGTATGAAGTCACAAGGTTTGTTTTAACTTATTTAACTATATTACCTACATGTTCAAATACTCATTTGGTAAACATAGTACCTACTTATATATATTTGATAGTTATTAGTAGTATGAATCTTTTCTCTTTCACTCCTTATGTTTTAAGTGTAATGGTAGTTCTACGAAGATATCACGAAACAGCCGATCGGGGTGTTATTTGCAGAGAGAGGATTTGTAGTACCGTAGGTCGGTGCGGTTCGTGGCCCTGATGGCCGTTGACTGTGTTAATAGTTTGCGTCGGTGATAACCAGTCTGGAACGCGGTTGTACCTTATGTACATATCGGCCCGGTCTCATCATGTTCATGGCAACAATGGGAGGATGAATTATTTAGTTACGTTTGCTATCATGACCGAGCTTTGCTCGACTTTTTTTTCTCACAACGAAACAAATAAAAAGGCTAATAAAATTAAAAAAAAAACATCTGGATTCGTACCTGGGTCTTCTAGTTTCGTGATCGCGCGATTAGCTATTATAACCTGAGATATTATAACCTTGTGGCGAAATTTACCTTCGTATTCTAATGATATTGTAGCAGTTTTACATTCCCTGAAATCTCGGATGAAACAACATTTTCTAAAAATGAAGCCTAGCTAGATGGATTTATCGAACACATAAACCTCACACACCAAATTTCATGAGAGTCGTTTCCGAGGTTCAGATTTTATATATACAAGAATTATTCTTTTAAAGGTATTAAGATAAGATAAAATCTTATCCTTTAAACGAGCAATTCTTGTATATTTATAATTCTTGTATATATATAATCGGAATCTCGGAAACGGCTCCAGCGATTTTCATGAAATTTAGTATTTGCGTAGATTCGGAGGCGAAAAATCGATCTAGCTAGGTTTCATTTTTAAAAAATGCCCTTTTATCCCTGTTTTCAGGGAATGAAAAATATAATTCGAATATGACCGTAAATTTCGCCGCAAGAGAAAATGTCATAATAGCTCGGTCGGTAATCGGGCGGCCCCAAAACAGACGGCCGTGGTTCGCGTCACGACCATTTACACATTTATTTTTTTACTTTTTTTTCGATTCCAGATCATTGCTTTCTTTATTTTTAATTTCTTGTCAATTTGTTATTTTGTTATTTTTTTTCCCTTTTTTTTAAAGTTCTTTCTTTTGTGAAAAACATCAGTTCATATTTTCTTATTATTACGTCGGTAAGATCGAAAAATATTATGCATATTTAATTACTCAGTAATTTGTATCTAAATGTAATTTCCAAAATACACGATTTACCAAAAAAAAAACAAACCGAGCAAAGCTCGGTCCTCCGGGTACTTATTGTTATATGGCAACATACCGTGAAATGAGAATCGGACTATTTTTCAATGAAATTACTATGGCAAAAGTATTCTGAAAGTATATTTGACTGTACGGCGTTTTACTGGTCACCTCGTCAACAGTTATTGCCCGCCACGTTGTGGACTCGACCCTCACACAAGACAAAAATTGTGTTCCACAAATAGCTTTTCCGAGTCCCGGGTGTACGTTGTTTATGTTTTTAAAACCCTTCGTGACACACTAATTATTTCCTAGTAATCCATGTGCTCTAGCGTAGAGTTAAAGCTCGTTTCTAAAAAGTAGAGTCAGTGCGAGCTTTTTTTTTTTTAGTAAAAGTATAATTTTAAATAAGAATACACTTATGCATGCACACGTATGTATCGATATTTCATAAGTTTTTACTCATATATTTATAGAAAAAATAGTTAATAGAAAATAACACTGACGAATTTTTCGACAGATGAGTAAACGCCTATATGTTTTGGAAGACCATATTTATCCGTCAGTAATATTGAAAATGTAAAAATCTATCTAAAAGCTTATACATTTAATTATACATATAAAAGAACGAAAATAATCTACGGACCAGACACATATCCACCGTCACGGCCTATCGATAAATTCGAAACGCGTTGAGTCAAACTTTCGTCATAAATATTTCGCACAATCACATAGACTTTTAGTAATTTTCCAAAGAGGGCATTAAATCCGTTTTATGTTCTTAATACTGTATTACTGGGCGCGTTATGTTTGTTTGGACTAGTCCGAGTGACGTCAGCGAAGCACGCGAACTACCCTCGCTTCAGTGTGAGGGTGAGCAAGGTTTCGACCTCCAAACTAATACTGTTCAGTCAAGCGGTGTAGACGACGGAAAATATAAAGGCAATATTTGCACAATTCATCTCGGCCTTTTTGTAACGTATTTCCGTAAGTTTGCGTTTACTAATATCAAGTAACATGTTCGCTTCGGCTTATAGAAACATTTTTATATTAGCGTACGTATAAGAGTTTATCAAATCCAAGTGACCACTCCTCCATGCGACCATGTGTTTTTTTTTTTTTTTTTTTTTTTTTTTTTTTTACGTGTGAAAAATCCTTTATGGATCCCCCGCTGCCTTGTGGGTAGGCAGCAGGGGTATGTGGGAGTTACACGTACCCACTAAAAAACCCACGTTGCACCTGCGCTATCGCTTTGCCGGGGACACGGGAACACGAGAACGCAATCTTCCGCGAATCCCGGCGCGACTGTGGCCTTCTCAGGCCTCCTCTCCCCGGGTGTTAGGGACACCCGGTCCAGCCAAATGGTGCCGTGTCGGTGCAATGAACACGGCACCCCTCTCAAGCCCTCCGCGGGGCAGCAGTTAGTCCCACATCTGCCGCCCCGGGGCTTGCTATCAGGGGGGAAGGTTGCGCGCGTAGGCCAGCTTCCGGCGCCCTGGTCTCCGGCGGCGGATTTCCAGGGTGGTAGTTGCCTCCCTTTCTCTCTCCGCGGCCTCCTTCCGGGTGATTATGTCCTCGCAGAATGCAAGGACGGCACCCCACGACCTCTCGCTGTCCACCATAGCGCGGACCACGGCAGGTAGCGAGAGATCGTGCCCCACGATAGCCATCAGCTCTCGGCGCTGCTCCCGCCAGGCTGGGCACTCCTCCGGTGCGTGTTGGGCCGTCTCCTCGGCACATACGTCGCAGTGGTGGCAAACCGCTGTTGGCTTCCTCCCCGCCAAGCGGCACAGGTACCTCCCAAAACAGCCATGTCCCGAGAGAACCTGCGTCGCCCGGTAGGTGAGGGTGCCGTGACGCCTGTCCAGCCACCGACTGAGTACCGGACGTATGGCCTCAATGGTTCTTAGGCCGGCACTGGGGTGCTCCAGCCTCTGCTCCCACTCGGCGATGGCGAGTGACCGCAGCCTTAGTCTGCACCCCTTCAACTCCTCTAAGGCTGGCAGGTGACCCCGGGCTATTGCCTCCTCGCGCCAGAAGTGCAATGACGCGAGGATACTGGCTTCTAAGTCCCAGGGAATGGAACCAGCCAACGCGCACGCCGCCTCACCGGAAATCGTCCGGTAACCCCGTATGGCCCGTATAGCCAACACCCTCTGTGGTCTGCGCAGAAGCGCCATGGTCCGGCGATTCAGGGTGTCGGCCCAAACGGGAGCACCGTACAGGGCCATAGACCTCACGACCCCGGTGTATAGGCGGCGACAGGAGTCTTTGGGGCCGCTAACGTTCGACCATGTGTCCCTTGGCTCAAGTAGATAACGTCATATCCGGTATACAGTGTTGCCAGGGCCAACATACGTATTTATAGTAACATTTTAAGTCCTCGTTTTGACTTGATGATAGTAGGATAAACACTTTAAGACTTATTATGATACGCATTATTAATAGAAATAATAATATATAATAGAACGCATTATATTACCTGATAAATTAAAAAAAATATTTATTAAAAATTATAAAAGAATATTAGCCATAGTACGAGTTGTAATTTATAAATAACATTGAAACTAATGTTTAAATACATAACGGTAAAATCTCTAAAAGCTATAGTTAAGCTTACTACTTTTTGGTTATTATGCTCGGGAATTACATATTGTGTTCGGCTTTGAACAGCGAAGCAATCAGAATTCAAATATCAGCGGCAATGTAACTGTTATTTCCATTTTCATGTGATGATTTACGACGTGCGCACGACGTACGGTATAGAAAATGTAGTAAGAACTTTGCTTGTCTAAATAAGAATACAAATAAACTGTGGTAACACGCAACAGTCTTCGCTGCTACACGAATGGGCAAGTCCGTCCGGGAAGTACCACGACGTCACAAAAGATCGGCTTGAAGGGGCAGTATTCTTCAGGAAGTAAACCTCTGCGTTTGGTCTGGTGAGTTAGGTTAGAAACAACACACACTGACCTGCTGCCAGACATGGTACGGGAAGCGGTAGGCCACCAACGCCGCGGCGATTGTGTGCACCGTCGGTAGCAGGATGCCAAACACAGCGGCGACGGGCGCACCGACCGGCAGCAGGGCGTAGGCGGCGAACACCGCCCAAACCACGTGCGTGGCGCCCTCGGCAGGCGCGCCTGGGCCCCAGCAGGGCAGCGTGGCGGCCAGGGCCGCCGCCCCACCAGCCAGCGCCAGCCAGCAGGCACGCGGGAGACGCCGCTCCGGCGCCGCGCCACCCGAGCGCCCGCACCACCACGCCAGAGCGGCGCACAGCACAGCGTGCGCGCTCAGTATTCCCACCTGGTTACACATTTAATCTATTTGTATGTTGTACTACATACTGTTGAAGAAAACGTGGTAACTGATCAGGCAGCTAGCAAACGAGACAACAGATAAGTTAATTTATTATGCTTATTTTTAAAGCATTATGTCATATGGTGTTTTAATATGGAGTTCTCATTCCGGCTTAGACACGATATTTGTGTTACAAAAGCAAGTGTTATGATTAAGTATTATGCTGTCTGTAGTTTGCATCCTCGTGGGTTACTACGTCGTCTTTTTAAGTAAATAAACATTTAAACGCTCCCGTCGCTATACGTACTCGAGAACAGCGTTTATGTACGTAATAATATGCACCTTTTTACAAATGACATAGCACATTATAATGTCGAAGAATACATTGACGACAAGGATGTGTAGAAATGACTCTTGTTCTGCAGTTGCAAGACCCCTGGCTGCTGATTTTATACTTTAATAATTTTGAATACTAGTATCTTTAAAGACAAGGATAGCAAGACCGCAGAGTTGTTCTTCCCTGGACAGGTCTAGTTTATTGTTCAATAAGAGCCTAAAATAAACCTATATTGAATACATAAATTTTGACATTGATTTTGGACTGTGAAACGAAAATCTGTTCCAAATAGTTCATTAAACAACATCTACTTCTTTAAAAATAGCATATGGGTTTTTATCAATTAACAATATAGAAAGAAGCGAGCCAAGAATGAGATGACCATTCTTACCTAGTCATCATGTAATAAACAAAAACAAGCTAAATTAAATTGTTACAACATGATCCTTAGCCTATCTGTTGCTTGTAAAAATATTAAGGTGTTGGGTTCGATTCCCACAGCGGCGACAATCTTTTCGTACTTTTTCTACATGTTTTAATATTATTACTGATAATACACGACCGGTGTGGACTACAACAGTTAGCAATTGCTGAGTTTAATCTTTAAAATCAATTTCTTACCCTGAACATTAATTTCCGGTGTTAGTTATACAGTCGACTTTCAGCGAGGTATATTCTGCTCATTATGAAGTTGTATAACACGGAAAGAGGCAACGTCAAGTGTAATTAATAAAGCATGCGCCCATACGTACGTACATACCTAGCTATATACAAATATTCCTATAAAAATGTCAGTATTTTATTGAACAAATTCCACAATTGGAAAACATAGTAAGACGAAGAATTTTTAAGACAAATATGGTCTTTTCACAAAATTTTCTTTTTTATATTATATCTTTATGTATAAACTAAATAGAAGTATTTTTATTTAGGTTACTTTCACAACATCGCTTGCAACAGATAAAGTTCATGTGAAACAAAAGAATTTCAACACACGCCAATAAAGCCAAAGCAGAGTTGATCCCAGGGTCAGTACGGATAATTTGTTGAAAGTATGTCAATAACTTTAATCCCTTTGAAATGAAATCCGTTCGAGGCGGAAAAAATTATCATGCAAAATGGAATTTATTAACTGTAAATATTTTAATAGCACATTAAATTTTTATTCGTTCGTATGGACGTGTCATGGTTGTCAACAGAATACATTAAATCCTCGTACAACTGGACAGTATAAGCTTGTACTAAATAGAATTTTTTACGTTGCGTTAGTTTTCTATCTTAAACATAAATTATTCGACACAGAATAGATTGTTCTATCGTTTTAGGAATTGTTATTGCAATGCCCACACTACACAGTGGTCTTTCCTTCAACTTTCTTCTATTAGCCGTCATCTCTATATTCACAACACTCAAACCGTCCAAACTTGTCTCGGTGTCCCTTCAACCTTGCACGTAAAAGAACCAAGAGACCAAAGATAAAACATATCAATCATATTTGAAAATTATATTTATAACCTAATATCTTATTTAGTATTACCGAAGATTTTATATTTGACGATTTTATATTTGTATTTTTAATGTTCATATCTTTACATTGTAATTTGATTTATAAGTACTTACGGTGGTAGGGCTACGCAGCAGCCTGGGATGTTACACGAATGGGCAGGTTCGTCCGGGTATGTACCACGACCTCACAGAAGACCGGCGTAAAGTGGAAGTTAATACTTTCGCGTTTCGTCTGGTGAGTGAGGTGGCCGGAGCCCAATTTCCCAAAGGTTGTCAACACATCTGGAACCCTCGAGTGTAGCAGATGTCCATCGGCGGCGGTATTCACTTAACATCAGGGTATCATCATTGGTATTTTATTTTTTATGTGAAACATAAAAAATAAAATACATTAGATCTGAAAATTGTATTAAAATTATCGTTAAAATAATTTTGGTAAAATAATAAAGCCTAAATGGCAAATTATCACGCTTTTCTTGAAATACAATCCGGTAAAATTTTAAAAACAGGATGCTCTTTGATCTTTCGTTTTAAGTGGATTTGATCACCCATTTACGTTGATTTCATACATGAATAATGTTCTGAATTTCTGTGAAGTTCGTTTAATGGAAGATTGTCAAAAGTACTAAATATGGCTGACTTTACATACATATGGTTATAACTTTTTTTTTAAAAAGCTTACAAATAATCTCCATTTCCACTTTCTAGGTTTGCGAGCGGAGTAAAAAGTTAAGACTAAGAGCAGTAGAACGTTTTGTGCAACATAACAAGTGTGTATGGTATTATAGACATATGTAAATAGTAAGTGCATAGTAACTTAATTTTTAATTTAGACTCTTTGAGCCGGACGAGGAGAACTAAGCGATAAGCTTTTGAGGATTTATGTAATTGGGATTGGATGTGGTCGGAGGTTCGATATTCTTCTGTACCTATATATATTATATGCACATAAATAAATGATACTCATAATAGCCAAGGGTAACATTTAATCTGACTAGCACACCAGGAGAGCAGAAGAGCTGTAGCGATATGTATAGTGCTGCTACAACGTAGAACGTCCATATTTATCGTGCCTACGGTATTTTGTACCAGGCTAGCAGAGGCGCGGGAGGGCGTTACCTGCGGCGCGGCGCCCCAGCCGCGGGTGGCGTCGGCGGCGGCGAGGGATGCGGCGAGCAGCGCCCACAGCGCCAGCGCGGAGCCGACGGAGGCGCGCTGCAGCTTGCACGCGTAGCGCGCGTACAGCTCCTCGAGCTCGGCGGACTCGAAGCGGCGCCGCGCGACCAGCCGCGCCCACCAGCCGCGCGCCGACATCGCCTTCACCGCGTGGTCCATCTCACCTCGCCGGCAACGCTAGTGCGCACGCTCGCCGCTTCATCTGCGACAGGGCAATAATGGTCGCTGTTTGTCATCTGCGCGTATACGATATTTGTAATACACAGACAATACTGGAAAAGTGCATGTGCAACTCATACTGTGACAGCTCCTAACAAAACCAATTTTCGTTTTCAAATTAGCAATAAGTGATTTAAATTTAAAGTTTTTTTATAGTGCTAATCTCTGCGCTTAAGATTGAACATTAAAACATGTAGAAAAAGTACGAAAAGATTGTCGTCGCTGTGGGAATCGAACCCACGTCTTCGGCATTCGCGGCCTGACGCTCCAGCCACTAAGCTAAACGGCTGATTGCCACACTGACGAAAATCTTAACGCCTTCCTTCTACATTGTTATTTAGCATTTGAAGCAAATAATAAACGGAAGATATTTTATGATGTAGTTGACCTTTTAAGAGTTACTTGTAAAAACAACCTTCTAGGGGTCATAACAATTTGTTAGAAATAATGGTAGGACAGTTTTGAACCCTCAAAGAATATGAAAAGGTTATAGAAAATGCATTCAAGTTAGAAAAATATTTAATAATATTTACTTTAACCCACGATATTTAAAAATATATAAAACAGTTCGCATGTCATACTAAAATATTTAATAAACGTGATTAAAATGTAAAAAAGTTTCGAAAAAAATTTATAAGAAAATCCAAAAATCCTCACACGACTTATTTCATTTTTTAAGAAAACATCAGTAACATTGACTTATTTGTATTATGAAATTATACAATTTAACAAAAGTGTAAATAGTGAACTTTTTTTATAAAATAAAACATTTTATTAATAAACTACGGGTAGGCTAATAATAGCAAATAGGTAACTAGTTGATATTATTCTGAAGATAATAAACAAAACGTGGACTTTATATGTCAGTTTTAGGAAGTTAACGTGACAAAAAATTATGACCTCGTGACGTCCACGTAATTTTTTAGGTTTCAGTTTTTAAAATTGTTTAGCAAAATAAAATTGTTTTTAATGGAATATGAGATGGAAATGGATTATTTAAACTGTTTTCTTGAAATAAATCTACTCGTATTATCGTATAAGTACCAATTGGTTGTGGTAGAGGCAGTTAAAGAGCAAAAAATGCTTGACTTTGACGTATCGAGAGTAGAGTCGCGGTATAGGGCATGCAATATTTCAGCTATTAACTTATATGCGATACATCGGAGAGTAATTTATTGATGTACATAATTAAAAATATGGAGGAGTATCCGTTTGACACCTCGGACCGCGTGACTGCCTTACGTATACATATGGAAAATAACAACTTTCTTAATGTCCTTGGAATCTATGCGCCGATTGCTAAATTGTATCTTGATCTAGTTGAAAAAACTTAACAATGTTATTTGTTATTTATTATAATTAATTATTCTGGGCAGAATAATTGCCCATTACATTTTCAATAATCTAAAAAAATAGAAAATTTGAGCTATTTCCGACATCAACGGGTGCTAAAATTTATATATAGTCGTAGGCAGCTATTGGGTTATAAAAAGGTTCATTCCATATACCATCAACCATCAAACAATACGAACACAACTAACTTATTGATGTTGAAATGACGTGACAAAAAACTATAAGCGATATTTCGTTTGAAGCCAGCACATTGGAAAAAATACGACCGTTGCCTCCATCTACGTTCTCTTTTCGGCGGCAGTAAAAAGATTGATGCTTGAACAAAAAAATTCGCATTTTTCTTCCCTGAAACGCTTTTAGGTAATGTCTAAAAATTACTTTCATTCTTAAATGTCACTCACTGCCTATGCGTCCTTGGTCGTCTCGACAAGGACTGTGGCAAGACAAGCCCTTTTTTAGGCACTCACCGTCGATGCCGGAGGCGGTAATTATCCTCGCTCACAATAGATCTAAGTGACACGGCTTGAAATTAAATTAATGAACTGCAAAAAAATTCAACACGCATAGTTTTTGCGAGTATTGCACGCGTACGTCAGAACTCGCTCATATCTAGTGATTTTTTTAATTGTCTGGGCTCATGTGTTGTGCCGTATTCTCCTGAACGAACATTCTTCCGCATAATTACCTATTTCAATATTGTACAGAAAAAAACGTCGATTTATGTTTATGCCAGTAAAATTTTTGTGTCAATTTTAAGTGCTGATTTACCACATACGTTCTATATATTAAAAAAAATTGGAAGTCTTAATACATATTATCCCTTTGCCTAGCAATAGAACATCAACTATCAACTTAAGATATCTTCGTGGCGCAGTAGCCAAGTTATTGGCAACTGGATATTGGATTCGGCTCCGGCGGTTGTGGGGTCAATTCCCACACGGGACTACTATTTGTGTGACCTATAGATAATTTTTTTCAGCTCTGGGTGTCTGTCCACGTGAAATTTACGTTTGTAAAACGTCATCACAACATTGTTCAATACTATCCTAAAGTAAGGACAATATTTTAATTTAAAACAAAGCTAAAAAAGAACGCTTATTTGCTGGCTCACAAAATAAAAAAAAGTAAAAATTGTTGAATATGCGAGATATGTATATTGCCGGACCATTGCCACCTCAACTTACTAAACCTTTGAGCTATGTCGATTACCTTTGTTGCATACTTAATATTATGTCTTTTAATATTATACGCACTTTTTAATGAGAAATTGAGTTGTTACGCGAGCACGCGGTTCACCTGGTGTTAAGTGCATCTGTAACCCTCGGGTGTAGCAGATGTCCATGGGCGGCGGTATTCACTTACCATCAGGTGAACCGTCTGCTCGTTTGGAAACTTTTTACACAAGTATGTGAGTACTTATGTACGAAGAATGTAAGAAGTTATACTTCTTTAGCGTAACAAAAGAAAAATAAATAATAATTTTATCCCCTGTGCCAGTACTCTTTGATTGTGAAAAAGACATTAAATTCAATTATTGATAACGGAATAATTAAATTGCTTGGAATTATAGGTAAATTTCAAAAAACTGTTACTGGTTGACTTGGTAATACCGTAAAGTTGCTCGCTTTGCTTTGCTAACTTCATCGTGTCGCTTTTTAGCTGTCGGTTTGCGCGCGCATCTTAAAAATTGGACTATCACTTTTTTTTCCAAACGCCTCAAAAGAAGTAAAACGTCAAAATTGTTTATACATAACTGCTGAGTTTATTGCCAGATCTTTTACCGTCTTTACTTTTAACTGCCGTAAAGTAATGGATAGAGCTTATCCATCAACAAATCGTAATGCGATATATATTCTTAGTGAGAACGTATAAATATATAAATTTTTGTTCGAACTAAAAGAAGTTACGTGTCGTGGGCGTAAGCAAACAATGCCGAGTTAAAACGAAACGGTACCGCTAACAGCGACCAGTCGGTACTTTAAAATCTCTCTAGGTATGTATATTATTTCCTAAAGGCGTTTTTTGTCGGAATCCATAATTCTTCACAAAATTAAATATTTCGAAAGCAATTTTTAAGTGTATATTTGCCGCATTTAAAATAGATGCGTAGAATAAAGTTGATGTTTTCATGAAAAAACATTCGCTTAAAATATTCTAATAAAGATTATATTATAATGCCACCTATTGACAATTTGTTTACATGAAAAATAATGAAGTAAACTGAATAACAATATTCGTCATAATAAGGTCGCTTTCAGACTTTTCACTTTGACAGTGGTAGAGCCACGCAGCAGCCTAGGCTGTTACACGAATGGGCAGGCTCGTCCGGGTAAGTAGTACCACGACATCACAGAAGATCGGCGTCAAGTGGAAGTATAATACTCGCGTTTCGTCTGGTGAGTGAGGAGTGAGTCCGGTGAGGTGGAGTGGAGGTAGCCGGAGCCCAATTTCCAAAAAAGTTGTCAACGCATCTGCAAACCCTCGGGTGTAGTTAGCAGATGTGCATGGGTGGCGGTATTCAATTAACATCAGATGAACCGTCTGCTCGTTTGGCAACTTTTCACATAAAAAAAAAATATAGATTAAACTACTATTCGGTGACTGGTCATGATTGCAATTGACATGTACGAAAATTTCGCACGGGTCAACTAGTTCACTTATTTGAAATATATCAAATAAGGGCGGCCCCGGGAAAAATTATAAAGATGCAATCATATATTTTCACAAAACTCAAAATAAAATAAAGATAACTAAAGCCTTAGCTAGACAGTGAGCGACTTTCAAACGATATTACTTGAGTTTAGAAATGTTCCGTGCCCACGAATATGAAAATTTTCGAAAACAACAAATATAACTACGGTTCAAGGAGCTTTCTAAATATTCTGCATTATTCAGTGGGTTTCAAATTCCCGAAGCAAATCTCGCATGCGTAACGCTGCGGCAGCTTGTACATCATGCATCGAAGTAATTACTCTATATTTATCGTGTCAAGAAAATAGGCGCGACCCACAAATGTCAACGGGGAAGTTGCTAGCGTTGAGAAAAGTAATGTTATGTTCGTGAGCGAGAATAACAAAAGAATTAAAAGAGTTATTAAACAGTAAGTCGGACAGAACAGAAGTGGGTTGCAGGGTTCTGCCTGTGGTCAGCCCTGTAGTCCCGGGCTCATAGAATAGGGCTAAGGTATCCCTTGCCTGTCGTAAAAGGCAACTAAAAGGGGACGCGAATGGGCTCTTGCAGCAGCACGAAGTGATCTCGTGCTGCTGCAAGAGGGTGAGGGAATCGGAGAAGGTTTATCCTTCTCCGAGGCGTGCTCAGGCGTAGTACCGAGGGACACCGGTGCGTTCCATGCGAGATCCCAGAGTCCCTCCAAATGTACGGAAGGCGGCCACCAAGGGGGTTTTAGTGGGTAAGAACCCCACATAACCCTGTCATGTAAAGTAACAGTAAAGTTTCGAAGATTTCAAAGAAAAAAAAAAAGGATCTGCCTGTGGTAGGCCACGAAACAGTTGCACAAATAGGCAGGTCAGTCCGGGAAATTACCACGACCTCACAGAATACCGGCTTGAAGTGAAAGTGTTATACTT